CCCCAAAACCCCAAAACCCCAAAACCCCGTTAAGAAGAAAATTAGAAAGTAAATAAAGTTGTGAAATTATTAAATCTTTTGATTAATCAAATGTTAGGAACTTACTATTAGTCTTGGGTGCCCATTGTATCCCTGTATTATGATTTATTTTCTGTTAGTTTTCCTCTGCTAGACACATCTTTTTTATCTAACCATTTTAAACGTTCTCCATCTTCCCAAATTCCTCTTTTACTTTTCCCTTTTGCATTATAAAACTTTCCTTCTCCATGCTGTTTGCCATTGGCCCACATGCCATCATACTTTCTTCCATCTGGCCACACATATATACCGAAGCCTTCCTTTTTATCATCAACATACTGACCCTCATACTTTCTTCCATCTTCCCATGTATAGATTCCGCTTCCATGTAGCTTATTTTCTTTCCAGTCTCCCACATATTTACGTCCATCAGGCCAGCTATAAGTTCCATACCCATGTATATTATTATTGAACCAATTACCATCATATGTTGAGCCATCAACCCATCTGTAGTATCCATTTCCGTGTTTCAATCCTTTATCAAAGTAGCCTTCATAATAAGATCCATCATCCCATTCTTCTCTTCCATGCCCTTATTTGAGATCATCCTTCCAGCCTCCTTAAAATTTAGAGCCATTCTTATGATAGTAGCTCCCTCTACCATTTGCCTTGTCATTTTGGAATTCCCCTTCATAAATGTCTCCATTAATGTGATTGAAAACACCATATCCACATGCTTTACCGTTTCTCCAATCACCTTCATACTTTGCACCATCTTTCCACTATAACTATCCCATCCCATGCTTAATCAATGGTTATCCAGGTTAAGATTTCTTCACTTATCCAGAGTATAATGATCCATCTTCGAAGGTAATCTTGTCTACGTGAATCAATTGCTCTTTCGGATCTAAAGCATTTTTTTTCAAAAACTCTGAGTCATATCCTGCTTATATATCTTCCTTAATGTCCAACAAATCTGCTCGGCTTGCATTGCCAGCATGACTCTTTTATTTTGAGGTTCTCTTAGCTTAAGTTCTCTCGTCTCCATTATTACTGCTTCCTCCTTGACGACTCATTTTGCCTGTTCCTTAACTAATATTAAGTGAGTTTTTATGGGAATAGCTTCTTTACAATTATCCGCCCCCATTCTAATCAATAGTAATGTTATTTTCATCCTGAACATTTGGAGGGACTTTTTATTTGCTTCCACACCAGTTTGATCCATCGACACAATTTGTATTGTATTAATCTTGATAACCTGTACACGAACCACAAGCCTGTCCCATTAAATTTTTAATTAGTTTTAAACTTATGAATTAAAACACCTATTCCCATACTAAATTTAATTCTTGTTGAAGATTATTTTTTGCTTGCGGGGTTTTGGGGTTTTGGGGTTTTGGGG